TTAGTGCCCATATTGCAATATTTTTATGATTCACTACTGCCCATAATATTTGAATATTTAACCAGGAGAGAAAATAGCTTTAAGAACAATTGATTTTGCTGATTAGTTCACACAGAATGACTGTGCATACAGTTTTGTTGGATAAAAAGCTATGGGAATGTTTTTTATAAACGGACCCCTTGTTAACAGCCATCATTGGAAAACTGGGTCCGAGGCCATTTTTTTTTTTACTATTGTTTACATTTAAAATATATACAAATGTGAAAACAAAAAAAGTATTTAAATAGAATTCAAAAAAGAACTTGTATGCCCCTGCCAAAAAAGAAAAAAGCTTAATTTCAGTATCCTAGTAATGACAAAGTTATCGCTGTATTAATATGCCCATAGCTGATATGTGATAATGGCTCTAGAAAAACACTGGTTAAAGAAGCACCAGGGTTGTAATTGTGCTTTTGGCTTTACTACATGTTGAGTCACTGATCTGGAATAACATACAGGACAGACTCTTTAGATTACAAGGTAAAGACGACAAGACTCCCAGGACAGTCTCGCACCCTGCACTTTTTAAATTGAAGTAATTATTAGTTCCCATATTTCAATCTTCAATGGTTCCCTTTATGTCTGCAGTAGGCCCTCCAGCTGTGATGAAAAAATACAAATCCCACTATGCATCTGCCTCTGGAAGTCATGCTTGTTTTTGTCAGTCTTGTAATGCCTTCTGGGACTATGTTCCACAACATCTGGATGGCCAAAGTTTGGATACCCCTGCTTAATGTTCTAAACCTTAGTATGTGCATGTTTGTATTTGGAATATTTCTTATCAAATAACCATTGCTAACTAAACCTTCATATTGTAAATATTACTGATAAAAAAGCAAATGCAAAATATAACATTCATGGTAACTAAGTCATGTCTTTGTTTTTCTCTTATGTAGAGTTGTCAAAATGACCTTTGGATGGGCCTTTACATTTTTACTTTGTTTCAAATTATTTCATGGTGCCTGGGGTAAGTGTTTTCTTCATCCCATAATTATGTAAAAAAAAAACAAAATCCAGGCAGTGAGAGGAACAGCTATCTCTATCTTTCCTCATCTTCTGGACAATAGCAAAATGCACAGCGGGACTTGTGACCCTTGATTGCTCTTTAGTAGCAAGAGTCAAGTGTTCAGCCCAGGCATGTGTAGATGAAGGGTTCTGTAAAAATGGTGTTGGGGAGCATTTTCATGTCCAGAAGAAGTGTGCAGTGTAGTACACCACAACAACATAAACTTTATCATTTGCCAACCCTGCAACTACATGCATTTTGGTACTCACTGACATGCACATCCGTATTCATCCAATGTCTCCCACGTCTGCACTTGACATTGACACTGATAGATACTTTTGCATTACCACACACCAGTGCACACTTCTGCGCTAAACAGTGTCTACTTTCGTAATCTCCAACACAGAAATAGTGTGCACTTCTGAATGTACCAACACTGCACTTTCATTCATTTCTGTAGAGTGCTCTTCTGCAGTCACTGATGCATACTTTAGCACTTGCCAATACTGTACCAATGTACACTTTTGAAAACAACAGCATGACAATGCCATGCATGCCTGCGTTTGCCAACACTACACCTCCACTCCATTTCTGTGCTAACTGCCAAAACACCACATAGACATGCATTTAACTTCTGATTCCTCCATAAAGAGTATTTGTCATTCCATTTATGCTATCACAAAGAGGGCTCTTCATATCCGTTGTGATAGGAATAAAATGTAAACTAAAAAAATTAAAATTCAATAAAATAAATTGTAAAAAGTTAAAAAACCCTTGCCGCATTGCACGTGCATATGAGCACAAACACGTGTGTAAGGTGTCCACGCTTGTGTAACTGACAACTACACATATTAGGTATTGCTGTGCATGCTGAAGTAAGAGGAATCATTTTAGTGCCATTATTTTTGAGTAACACCAAACTGATTATCTGTAGAGGCGTTTACAGCGCAGCCTGTGGACAATTTTTGGTATTCTATTTTCTTGCCATTTGTGGGTGCACACAATTTTATGGCTTGATATGTTTGCTATCTATTTACTCAATGCAATCTCTTTTAAAATTCAAAAAAAATGAAGTTTTGTGTTTCTTTGAATTAAAACATACAACTACCATTTTTTATTCTATAGGCCCTATGCTTTTAGAAAATGCATATTCTGTTGGAGGTTTTAAGTAAACATCCAGCCTGAATAGTGCAAAAAACTGAAAAAAGTTAAGAGAATTGTGCATTTTCAATGTAGGCATATAAAAAGACTCTCACCTCACCATACTGTTTGTTTTTTAAAACATTTTTTGGCATAGGAATATCTCCCCATGGCAGTGCCCAGCTCACCATGCCTTTTTATTTTTACGGTAATTTTCCTATTACCCCTAAAAGTGCCCAGAATTTCACTGTTTCCTTAGTATGTCTAACCCATGCAATTTTGCTCATTCCTCCTGGTGAGAAAGAAGAAAACATTTTGAGATACATGTTACAAGGTGCCTATAGCAAGTTGAAGACTTAATTTACAAAATCAAAGCCATCAGCTTACTGATGAAATGATGGCATCTGCAGTGCATTTTGTTTTTAAAACTTTTAATTGTCAGATACAATTACCTTATTAAAAATACATTTTATATATACATATATATATACTAACACGGAAGTGCTGGAAGAACACTTTGCGACTAATTAGGTTGATTTGTAACAGGTTAGTAACATGGTTGTGTATAAAAAGAGCATCTTGGAGAGTCAGTGTCTCAGAAGTGAAGATTAGTGATGGGCCGAATACCCCCATGTTCGGTTTGAATTTGAACTTTAGAACATGGGAAAAGTTTGAATTCGAGCTCGAACTCAATGCAAGTCTATGGGGCTAGAACTTTGGAAAAACTCGAACTCTAATTTATGAACATGGAAAAAGTTCTAACTCTAACTTAGAACTGAATGTAAGTCTATGGGACCAGAACTCGGAAAATCAAATGTACCCATTTTGAAGTCTTATATGCAAGTTATTGGCCATAAAAAGCGTATGGGGAGTCGGGTACTGTCCTGGGGGACATGTATCAATGAAAAAAAACCTAGGGATCCCCCAATACTGATACAAGCATCAATATCGGTGGTGATACCGGGTATTTGCATGAGTACTCGTACTGGTGCAAATACTCCGATACAAAAAACAAGTACCTGTGCCGCGTCCGCCATCTTCAGGGACCCGAAACCTCCGCACACAGGACCTCCATCGCGTCTTCAATGAAACAAGATGGCTGCAAACTCCTCCTCCAAGTCCTCAGTCATCTGCTCCATTCTGACCTCTTCTCCCGCTGATTGACCGATTAGAGGATTGACAGGCTTCCTCACCAGTCAGGAGTGACTGGTGAGGAAGCCTGTCATTCATCCAATCGGCCAATCAGCGGGAGAAACCCAAGGAGTAGTATGTTGCTGGGAGGAGGTAGTGCACGATAGTGTCATCCTCAGGGACCCTGAAGACTCTGAATCTCATTCCTCCTCAAACTTATGGTGCATGGGCTCCCTTATCCTGCAAAGCCTGAGAAAGGACCCCAGGATTCGTGGTATCAAGGAGAGGGATCACTACTGGTTGGCAACCCTTTTTGATCCACGTTACAAACGTAAAGTGCAGAGCTCATCCTGCCCTCACAGAGGGAGCACAGGATGAAACAACTTGAGGACGCGTTGAAGAGAAACTTGTGTAACACATTTCCAGACACTGGTAGGTTACCATGTCATGAAAGAGGTGCTTCTGAGGCCTCAGTTAGTCAAAGGAAAGGGTGGTGGAGAAGGGGACCGCCTGACTGATGGCTTTAGAATTTTTTTCAGTCCTCAGCGCCCAGGGATGTTAACTTTAGGTACCCATCGGCAGCGTCTGCATCATATGGTGAAGGATTACCTAGGGGCAAGAGCAGACATGGAGAGCTTTTCAACAGACAGTCCACTGGCTTACTGGGTCTTGAGAAGGGATCACTGGCCAGAACTTCGCCAATATGCAATGGAGCTACTGGGCTGCCCTGCATCCAGCTTGCTTTCCGAAAAGGACATTCAGTGCTGCTGGAGGTTTTGTGACAGAAAAGAATGCGTCTGTCCACAGACTCCATTAACCGGCTGACATTTATCAAAATGAATCAGTCCTGGATCAGCAGCAGCTACTGTATCAATCCCCTGATGCAGATGTCACTGAATAAACTTGCTGGAGAACGGGGATATCTGAAAGACTGCCTAGACTACCTAACTTTGTGGGCGATTATTCTATCTTGAAGTAATGTTCTTGATGTAGTGCACCACCAACACCCAAGGCCCATTTTTTCCAAGCCTGTGAGACAGATATATATAATTAGAATTTTTAGACCAGGGTCCATTGCTGTACTCATCAAGAATAACTCTGAAGGGTTACGGTGTGAAGGCACCGCCAACACCGAAGGCCCAATTTCTTTTTTCAAATTCTTCATTTATAAAAGCAAGCAAGGTAAGCACCACAGATATAGCCATGTACAAAACAGGCGGTATCATCCGCAAGTACAATCAAAGGTAGATATAGTACAATATCAATCTCCAACATATAGTGTGGGCCCCCAGCAATACCTTTTAAGTTTTTTTAAAAACTATGCGGCAGCCAGTGAGAATACCCATTCACCAACCACCCAAAAACAGAAAATATGCAGCAGCACTGCTGCCAAGGATAGGAATTGAAAGAAAGGCAACAACCAAAGAAAAAGACATGACAGGAAGACTTATGTCTTAGAAAGACTAGAAAAAGAAAGCAAAGCATCCCATCTCCCCCGACTTCCCCCCAAGTATCCCCTCAGCCTGGGGCGTCCCCCAGGGACCACATATTGGTAAGGAATGCGTTGCCCCCTCCAGATGATCCAAGTACTCCAAGCTAAGCATGCCCACGAGTACATCTCTGAGTTTCGAAACTGAGTCCATGTCGCCCAAGTAAGTACGAATTTGTCTTGCGTGTCTCTCAGGGAGGAAGTCAAATCCTCCATCGATTCAATCTCCTCCACCCTCCGCAGCCACATTGCTATTGAGGGAGGCTGCGAGCTCTTACAAGCCCTCGCTGCATTGATCAAGTGGATCACTAAAGAGCACTTGTATGCTTTCCTGGAAAACGGTGTAAGGTGAAGGAGGAAGACCGATGGAGCAAATGGCAGATCCAACCCCGTTATTGTCTGTACTAGGTCAGCTACACTACGCCAAAACGGTTGGATCAGGGGGCAATCCCAGAAGATATGCCTAAAGGCTCCCACACCATCGCCACACCTCCAACACATGGGTGAAGAATCTGGGTACATGGAGTGAAGAACTGTCGGAACCCTGTACCATCTAGTCAGCAGCTTGTAGCCCACCTCTTGGTATCTGTTTGAAATGGAAGACTTAGTAGCAAAATAATACATACGCTCGATCTGGGGAGGGGTAAACTCCATGTCTAGATCTGTTGCCCACTGTCTGATAAAATATGGAGGTTGATCATTCGGTGGAGCTCGCAAACAGCTGACCAGTATGGACAGAGTATGTCTAGTCGGGATGGCCTTCAGGCAAAGATTTTCAAATTCTGTCAGGGGTCTGAGCATAGAACTCTGATCTCTAAGGCCTGGTTCACACCTGAGCGTTTTACAGCGCTGATCGACGCACTGTAAAACGCCCAGCAAGTGAAATCCCATTATTTCCTATGGGCACTGCTCCCACCTGGGTGTATTTCAGCGCGTAGGAATGCGCTGAAAAACGCCCTACGCCGAAAGAAGTACAGGAGCTTCTTTGGGGCGTATTTCCGCGCGTATCCTTTAGGATACAGCCGGATAGCCCTCGTAAAAACGCGTTTGTCGTGCGTTTCGTTGACCGCAAATCACAATAAAAACACGCGGCCAGAAACACCCGTCAAACGCGCATATTACAACGCCCAAGTGCGAACCCAGCCTAACAGATCGCAGGTAGTGACCAACTTGCAGAGCGTGCCAGTGGGTTAGATCAAAGGCCCAGTTTTAAAGCACCTGTTGTTGCTTTCATTCAATGTCTGCAAAAGAGGCACCAGAATATCTAATGCAGGGCGGAATTATTCTTATACGTATGTATGTATCAGGGCTTTAAGTAATATTTTTTGGGGGGTATTTTATTAAACTTTGATTTTTTTTTCTAATGGCTTTTTAAAAAACTTTATTTCTGTTACAAGGGGGCTAATACGCCCCCTCTGAGACTCCATAGTGGAGCCGATAGGTTGTCTTTAAGGAGACATTAGTGGTCTATTAGACCCCTAATGTCACCCATGTACTCTGCCGATCGTGCTCAGACTGTATATACGCATTGTGTTGCACTGCCATACATTTCGAAAGGCCCCCTAAGTCACATTTACAGTAAATGAAAATGCACCTCCGTTATAGTGCACCACAATACACAGATGTGAATATTTTATGTATTGTGGTGGGCTGCATTGGCAGAAATGGCACCAGAATATTTTTTTCATACATTGAGGTGTGCTGTTTTATTGCCCATTCGAAATAAATAGGCTGCCCTAATGAAGCACAACTGAACACACAAAAACTCACGTTACAAACATAGAAGTGTGAATGGACCCTTTGTGAAAGCAGGTTTACTTCAATTTGTCAGAATTATGTGACTTTTGTGTCTTTGAGAACCATTTGAGTCTAATTGGGAACTTTTGTTTCAAAACACTCACCATAACTGCAGCCAGAATGAAATGCAATTGCCCACATGCACCTCACTCAAAAAGCCCTACAATCCAATGTTTTCTAATACTGCAACCTTATCTAAGACTGACTTAGAGCCGTTTCTCAGCCAGATGTAGAAATTTACAGCTTCTGAGTACCACCTCAAGTGTAGTTATCTTACTTGACAAGGAGGAAGGGATGGAATAGGCCATGGTCCCTCATCAACTGCCATCTTTAACTGTACATGTGATCTTTTATTGAGTGTCAGTTATTCTCTAAATTATTAAACCTTTGAATGACAGTTTGTTCATCCAACTTTTTGTCTCTTCAACATATTTTCAAATTCTGCCATTATTTGTAGGTGATTGTCCATCCCCTCCAAATATACCAAACACAAGCCCAGTTGCTGAGACATCTGGAACCACAGGACAAGAAATTGTTTACACATGTGATCGTAGTACTGGTTATTATGAAATTCCTGGCAAAAGTACAACCATTACCTGTCAAGCTGAAGGCACTTGGACAGTTATTGAAGAATTCTGCACAAGTAAATGTTATCCTTGACTTGTTTTGGTAAAGCATAATAATAAACATGTATTCTGTCACTATAGTCTGCTATAACAATAAAATATTGTCAAATGAGCAGGCTTGAAGTCAAGTGGTAACATAAGAAGCTGCAAAGCTGAACCAGAAAACACCTAGGCGTATCGAATATGCGCGCTTGTCGCGCGTTTTTCGTGACGCACGTTTTTACCGCAATTCGCGGTAAAAAAACCGTGCAACAAACGCGCGTTTCCGAGGGCTACTTGGCTGTATCCCAATAGAAACGCGCGACAAAAACGCCCCATAGAAGCTCATGTAATTTTCAAGCGTAGGCCGTTTTGTAGCGCGTTCAGACGGGCTGAAATACGGCAAGGTGTGAACCATACCCATAGAAAACAATGGGATTTTCATGTTTGAGCGTTTTGTAGAGCGTTCGTAGAGCGTTGAACACGCTACAAAACGTACAGGTGTGAACCAGGCCAAAGGTGTTACCTGGTAGTGTTGCAAAGGTGGCAACAATGAAGAAAATTACAAATCTTTTTGGCAGGTTAAAAGGTTTGCGTCTCTTTCTCTCTATATATCTCTATCTATATAATCTATCAGAATGTATAACTATGACCTTTTATACATGTAATCAAAAAGCCAGAACCAAAAATTAATATCTCACTTTCCACAATTAAACTGTATTTTACAAGTGCTACACTATCATTTAACTATAAATAATGTGACAAAGTAGTGCAGACTGCAAAGCTATATCCAAACAATTCAGATATAGTATATACAATTTCTTGATATAAATCTAATAGACATATACTGTATAGTTCACACTGAATAGAGGTTAGATGTGGGGAAGTTGTCATTTCTACACATTAGAAAAAAAAACTGTATTATTGGGGGAATGATTGTTGAGGACACACAAATTAAATTATTGTGATACTTCCCACACAGTGGATTCACTACTGAAATGTCTGTTATATATGATAATTTTTTTATATGTGTCAATTTGATTCTTATCATGAAAGTGTATATCTTAGAATTGTTTAGATATATTTTTGCACAGTTTGCACTACTTTGTCACTTTATATATTGAGTTAAATACTAGTGCTGCACTGGTAAGACAGACAGATTCACAAACATATCTATTTAAGTTTGACTGCAGCTCCTCTTTGAACGGTATCGATCATGTTACGCAGGCTTTCTGATATGCCTTTAAATATATTTGCTTTATCTGTCTCTGGTATTAGTCTCCACCCACTGGCGGAACTTCCAGGGTTACAGCGGTCGCAATTGCGTTCCGCCACTTGGGGGGGGGCAGCGAAGAAGAAGAGGGCCCCCCCAGAGAGTGCCGCTCCTTCCTTGCCGCACAGCCGCCCGCAGCATGTACGGGCAGCTGTGCAGCAGGAATGGGAGACGCTGTCACCAGCAGAATATGCTGCGGGCACCGCCGGGCAGCACATTCTGCTGTGTGAGGACCCAACCCTCTTAGCCCCGCCCCCTGACCGGTGAGACGAGGAAGAGGGCCCTGCTGGAGAAGGAAGGTAAGTTTTGATTGGAAAGGAAGTGTGTGTGTGTGTGGGGGGGGGGATGCTGGTGATATAGTGCTCAGTTTATTATAATGCATTGCTGGGACTTGTAGCTGCTCCAGATTTTGTCTGCTTCAGTTTTGATAGATTCACCTCTCTGTGTCAGAAGGCTGAAACCAAGAAGAGATCTATTTCTCTGTAGGATCAGACTACTTAAAAGAAAAGTAAAGCCAAACCTTTTTTTACTTTTCTTTTGTACTCTAAATGTACTCCTGTTTAATGAAAGTCAGCCATGACATCATCTACATGATCGGTCAGCTTCAGTATCTCACGCCAGTTCTAAGCATTGAAGAGAGTATGTTTACTGTCCCCACACGTCTCTCTTAACCGCTATGTATTATACTTCTTCACAGAGAATGCATACACTGAGGCTGTTTTAGTAAAGCACTGAAGAATGTTCACAACAAACATTGTGTAAATATTCACTTTCAATAGCCAGCCGTGCAGAAGAAATAAGTAACCGTGGATTTCACATGATTGATTCATTGAAGTGAATCTTTACAAATTTTTTGGTGTGGAAATTCTCAAATCCTTTAGTAAATCAGCCTCACTGTGTGAGCAAACCAGAGACACTACCAACTGTGGACTGTATCTGTTTAAAAATGTCTTCATTTTGGACAGATTGTGTCTAAAGGTGCCCATACACTGCTCGATTCTCGTACGAAAATCGTGGGAAATCCCGCGATCGTACGAGAAGCGAGCAGTGTGAACGGAGACGTGCGACCGTTTCTACTGTACGGTCGCACGTCTTTTGTCTAAGGAGAACGCTAGAAAACCAGCCAAAAATCGTTAGACATCAGGGGACCCCTAATGTCACCTAGGACCCCCCTGAAGAAGCTGATGAAGCAGACGGCGCGCTCGAGCTGGCGGATGTAACAGGACGTGTATACACGCCCAGTTACATCCAAGAAGCTAGGTAGTTAAAGCACCTGTTAGTTTTATCCAAAGCCTGCAAAAGAGGCACCATAATTTATCCCCCAAAAAATCACTAAATTACCAATACACAGTTACTGGCAATTTAAATGTAATTTTTTGTGCAGAGCAGAGTCGGGAGCGCTGCTTCGCCTGCGGCCCGGTACCATTTGATCCACGGACCGGTACCGGGCTTGGGGACCACTGCTATACATCATACAGATGCGCCACTTTACAGGCAGTGAAAGGGAACCCCCCCCAGGCACCATATTTAAAGGAATTTTTCATTTTTAATGTTTCATTTTAAGTGATGTTAAATCACTGCTCCTTTAACAATGGTATTTTTTTTAAAGTGTTTTTTTCATTGATACATGTCCCCCAGGGCAGTACCCGGATCCCCATACACTTTTTATGGCCAATAAATTGCATGTAAGCCTTAAAAATGGGGACATTTAATTTTCTGAGTTCTACCCCCATAGACTTACATTGAGTTCTAAGTTCGAATTAGAACTGTTTCCATGTTCGAAAGTTCGGGGGTGTTCGGGTCATCCCTACAAGTCACATGTTGATTGTTCTTTCAGGAGGCAAGGCATACATTTACATCAAGGGAATATTCCCTGGATCAATTCCCTGGATTGCAAATTAAAATAGCCAATGGCAATCTAGCTATTCATTTCTATGCTGTTTTTTTCTTTTCTTTTTTATTCTGACAGCAGCAGCCTGCAAATAGAAAGGGAAGCAATAGCTTCTTTACTATCTGCCATTGTTTCTGGGTTGTGTCAGAGGGCACCTAACTGAAATGAGAAGGGCATCTCCCTGAAATAAGTTTTTCAGGTTGGGATCCCTGTAAAACAAGTAAAGGAAAGAGGCCAAAATGACAATAAATACAAGACGAAGAAAGAAGATATACTGTAACTCTTTATATAAAGCAGGTTTTTATTTTTTTGACTAGAGTGATATTGTAATGGCTGGAGTAGTTAAACAAGTACTGTCTCCTGTTTATATCTATTTGTCCTGTATTTTAGGCACATGTGGTGTCCCACCTCGACTCAATTACGCTGTGCCAACAGCAACAGATGATCCTTTTAATCAGGATATATTTCTTCCTGGTGCAACAGCGACCTATAATTGTAGGCCTGGCTATGTACGAATTCCTGGCTCGAAGGGGTTAATAACCTGCCTAGAGAACTATACATGGCCGTGTGAGCAAAACGGTGGCACTACCAACTTTGGAATGTATCTGTTTAAAGCCCCATTCACACTGAGCGATTTATCGCGCGGTAATCCGCGCGATATCGCAGATATTTACCGCGCGATATCGCTCTCCAATGCATGGCAATGGGGCTCTGTTCGTCGCTGTCGCGGGTCGTGCGTCGCTACAGCAGGACCCTTTTTGGAGCGGATTTTGCCGCAATTCTAGTTTTCTCAATGCACCATTTGCGCGATATCGCGCAACAAACCGCGATTTGCGAAACGCTCAGTGTGAATGGATAATTAAGAGGTTCTTTTTGGACAGATCATGCCTAATTCAAATAATAATACTTTTGTTGTAAATCTAAGATTTGGAAATGTCACAGAAATCATGAAATGCAAATTGTAATTGTTAAGACAAGTAAAGGAAAGCTGGCAAAAATGACATTAAAGACAAGATGAAGAAAAAGGATAGAACTCCCGTCATAAAGCAGGTTTTTATTTTTTGACAAGAGTGATGTTGTAATGACTGGAATACTTAAACAAGCCTTATAAGTACTGTCCCCAATTATATCTATTTGTCCTGTGTTTTAGGAGGTTGTGGTGTCCTGCCTCGACTTTCGGAAGCGTTGCCTACAGATGATGCTCTTAATCAGAATATATATCTTCCTGGTGCAACAGTGACCTATAACTGTAGGCCTGGCTTTGTACAAATTCCTGGCTTGAAGAGGTTAATAACCTGCCTAGAGAACTATACATGGTCTACTCCTGACCCATTCTGCCAGCGTAAGCATATTTCCTTTTGCTTTGCTTCTTTGTAGAAATAATGGTATAGAAAGTTAACAGATTACTCTTATGATCTGCAATATTTACTGGGGGAATTTATGAGTGTGTTTGTGACAACCTTTTTAGTAGGGATGCACCAATATATCGGCCGCTGAAACATATCGGCCGAAAATGGCACTTTGGGCAAAATGCAAGATGCATTTCTGCTTTCTCTCCTCCCTGCTGTGTCCCAGTGGGAAGGAGAGAAACTGTCACAGGCGGCCGAGCGCTGCGGGAGGAGAGCGCTGTGAGCGGCCGGTGTCTCTCCTCCGACACCGCTCAGCCTCCTGTGACTGATCAGGAGAGTGGTGTGGGCGGAGACAGCAAGCGCTGTCACAAGAGGTCGGCCAGCGGTGCAAGGGAGGAGTCAGCTGTCAGTTCATGATCTCTCCCCCGCACCGCTCGCTCAGCCTCCTGTGACACCGTGTCAGGAAGGAGAGCGAGTGCAAACACTCAGCGATCAGTGATTGATGAGTGTTTGTAAATAATTGTGGACATAGTATGTTTACTATATCCTCAATTATGAATGAATGGGAGTGATCTACATTACTTCCTGTTCATTCATGATTGTGGTTATAGTAAACACACTCTGTTCTCATGCTATGAATGATCAGGAACACTCAGTACAGAGACTTCCTGTTAATTTGTAACAGGAGAAGCAGAAAAAGAGATTGAGGACTCTGTGTCCTTAATCCCTTTCTATTTTAAGAGATATTTCCCTAAAGAATATTTCCCACCCCTAAAAGTAAAGTAAAAAATAAAAATATTTAATACAAATGAATAAATAAAAATAAAAAAATAAAAATTAAAATAAATAATTTAAAAAGTTTATTAAAAAAAGTTATTTAAAAATTTTTGAAAAAGTTATAAAAACATTTTCAGTTTCGGCCCAACATTTTATTTTTTCATTTCGGTTTTAAAATGTTCATTTTGGTGCACCTCTAATTTTTAGTCAAAGACCAAAATGTCATGTTAACTAACCACAAAGTTTTAGCGCCGATATGTGTCTTTTTTGAAGTGCTCCTATGACATATTCATGTTTGCGCCTCGGTGCACATGTTTCGCGATATTTTGCATAATTTCTCAAATGCGCAGTAATTGCAACACTTTGCGATGTGTAAACACTTGCAAACATATATTCGTGTGTGTTTTCACCAAGCGTCAGCCCATTCATTTCAATGGGCTGCTGCATGCGTGACAATTGTGGCAAAGAAGCTCATGCAGCATTTTCAACTGCGAGCTTCCTGCTTTTTTTTTTTTACCACATGTTTGTGTGTTTGACCAGATGCGTTTGAGGTGCCATTAACAAGTAATGGTGCTGCAAGCGTGATGCGCGGTTTTAACATGTGTAAACACACATAAAAGCATGCGCTTGGGACATGTTTAACGCTAGTTCATACAACGCATGCATGAGGACTTAAAGACCTCCAAACCATCTTGCATTGTAGAAGTGCTCCTGAGGACTTCTTTTAAGTATCACAAAGAACTTAATTCCTTAAAGTCAGCTGTGCACTACAGGAGTATTCAACTGTCATACCTGAGATTCCCAGCAAGTTTGCAACAACGTTGGGACAATTTAGAAACTATCCTCCTTTATGAAGGCATTTAGGTTTGAAACAAAAACTAGGATAATCTGTCGCTATATGCACTTGATATCAGGGGTGTGTCAGTTTAACAGAGGTTACAGATGCTGATGATGCAACAACATTGATTAATTACACCCATTGATTTTTACATTTGCAGTAGTGTCTGAATTGATATATTTTACTGGCAGGCAGATCATGTGGTAACCCAGGAGAAATAGAAAATGGAGAAATGGAGGCTGATGACTTTCTTTTTGGATCCAGAGTGACCTATACATGTAATACAGGGTGAGTCTTAACATTAGCTTGTCATTAATAACAATGGAATTTTCGATGTTCCCAAAGAAAAGCACTTTTTTAGCAGACTTGATACATACAATGGTTTTGTGGCTTTATTGATATACTCCTTTTTTTTATGACCAGTTTTACAAGTACACTAATGTCTGTCACAAATGTAACTGCATTTTAAATGCAATTATTTGAAGTGGTTTAAAAAGCTATTTGAGAGGTTTACCAGTTTCAGAGAAAGTGACTATGAAATGCCCAATACAGAGAACTGCCATGTATGCTTTCCCTGAACTTACTGAAATCATGCTTTATGTTCTGTAAACTTTGATATAATTAGTGTTCAGGCTTGTAAAGGAGGTTTGTAAAGGAGGTAGTTGCATCTCCAAAGAGACCTATTATGGCTTAACCAGGGAGGGTATTATTTTCCGTTTACTTCTGAAAATCCTGAATGCTTGGCTGATTTTTGTCATAAGTTCAATTTGGAGATATTTAAATCTTTAAGTCTTAAATCTGATATGGCATAACAACAATCACATAGGAAACCGCTGACTTTCAAAACACAGACCTGTTTATTATTCAATTCGAGAAACAAATTGTTGATTGGATAAAGCATTTAGTATTTTGGAATGGAAAGGCTAATCATGACAAAATAAAGAATGGATGGCATTTTCCATAAAGAAAAGATTTTGTTTCATAGTAATACTAAACACTAGACTCCAATAAAACCCCAAAGCCACCCCACCACCCGTTTTTTATACTTTTCTTCTTCCCTACTATTTACCCCTTTTTTTGTTCCCCCAACATATTGCCTTTCTTTTCTCTTTTACCTTAAATACCCCAGATACACAGCCTGTGCCAAGCTGCACTTTTGTTTACAGCCTAGCAAAGGCCCTATTGGCACACCCGTTATCACCCACATTAATGTGATCGCACCTCAATGTGTGGTGTATGTGCTTTGCAGTGTTTTGCCATTTATACTGAAATGCAGTCTGAAATTCAATGGAAGAAATGCACCTGCCCTTCAGTGCACTGCAGCAGGTGTAAAAAAGAATGCATGTGTTCTACTGAGGAAAAAAAACCATAGGCATGTTTGTTTTTGTGCATTAAAGTGTATATCAAGGCAAAAAAAAAAAAGGAAGACATGCATGCACCCCCATATGTTATCCCTTTAATCATGCTGCAAGTACAGAAAAATAACTGCTAATATGCCAAAAATATACGGTATGCTCCTATAACAACATGCCCTGCTACTTCATTTCTGATAGATTACAAAGAACATGTGCCTCTCTTCATCCCCTCGCCCTCATTTCCATAACTATTCCTTGTGCACAGTCAGAGAGCACAGGAAATTATCAGCTCGCAAGATTTCTGGCAAAACTACCGAGGGGGGAGGTCACTTATCGAACAGATATAACTGTGTGTGTTGTGACAGCTCTAAAAGTTTGCAATGTGTCGAACACTGCTGGAGCTGTTTAAATGTGTTTTTTTTTTTTTTTACTTTATTGGTAGTGCACAATGGGGGAAAGATAAAAGATGATTGGTTGCCATGGACAACTGCCCCATATTCTGGCTGCTCCAATATTGATTCATTTCCCTCAATGTGTACACTCCATTTAGGTCCCCACATAGCATCACTGTGACCTGTGGTGGCATCCAGTGCACTGCGGAAAAGAATAGCAGGTCTGTATATTTCCGCAGCGCACCACCCATCACACCCTGGTTGTGGTCTGAAAAATGCAGGCCACTGCTGTATGTGTGAACGGGGCCTTACCCTTCAAGGCAGAGGCGTAACTAGAAACCTCAGGGCCCCGGCGCAAGAAACCATTACGGGCCCTCCCCCCCAAAAAAAACAAACATGATTTTGATACCTTTTTTTTCCAAACCGGTTTGAAAGGTTTTTTTTTTTTCAAGTTTTTGCATATATTTACTGCTTGGTAGCTGTACATATAGGCAACAATACCTGAGGGTTTACTAACACTTTAAAGCAGATCCCAGCGAGCAGACACTCAGCACTCTTTCCCATAGTGGTTAATATGCGGGTGTGAGCGGTCTCACCAGAGATACAGGTGGTCTCACCAGGGCTGCGGGCGGTCTCACCAGGGATACGGGATGTCTAACCAGGGCTACGGGAGGTCTCGTCAGGGCTGCGGGCGGTCTCACCAGGGCTGATGCTGTGGGGCGGCTGCGCATGGTGCCGATGACCCCTCCCACTCACTCTGCTCGGACAAGCTTAGGTCCGTCAGAGCAGGCTGATGCATAGTGCCCGAGTCTATGCATCCGGCATAGCGGGCCAGGCCGTACAGAATCAACCCTCCAACAGGCGGAACGCCAGGGCCCGGTCACGATCGCGACCGTTGCGACCCTGGTAGTTCCGCCAGTGCTTCAAGGCATGCCTCCAATAATAACTGTAACAGTTGCCAGTTGTGTTTATGTCTGTTTTCAACTGAGTGTTGTAAGCCCTTCCAGTTGTGTTTTGCTAAACTGTTCAGCTACTCCCACTCTCATCATTACCACATGAAGGCTAATCATTCTGTAGTCCAAAACTAAAACTAAGGAGCCTCTTTGAGAAAACACAGGAAGTGCACACTGGACAGCTCTAAATGTTTCAAATTTCACATGACAATCTACACGTTTTTGATGGCATTATCGAATGTTCTATAATCTACCAGTATATGGCCAGTGTAGAAGTAGATTATCTCCTATTCCACTCCTATTTCAGTAAATGTTAGTGGATGCAGGTTTGTCAATATATCTTTACTAACAACAATACTACTTATGTGGTTTATCCTGTAGTGATTATCGTGAAGCAGTAATTTTATACGTACTGCGCCATATAAAATACAAACTGCTTCTTGAAGATGTGCTCAGCACCTGAAGATCTTTACTTGTATGGAAAATGCTTCTCACAATTCTATAAGAAGGATTAGGCTATGAGCTTGGATCTCAGCTGCTCAGAAGTATGAGATCACAGGGGCCTGACTTTGAGTAATCAAGTATGCTTGGATGTAGACGGTCCTACAAACTTTTACCACTTTTATCAAAGGGGCAAACCCTTTAAAGTTTACATAGGAGGGCTGCAGTGAACATTTTCCTTTAACATCCTGATACTAAACAATATACATTTTATTTATGGTTCTTTTTCCTGTTCTCTGCCTCTAGGTATCGTATGCAAAGCAGACGAAATTACAGGGACTGCCAAGCAGATGGAGTTTGGAGCAATGCTTCTCCTCAATGTGATGGTAAACTTATCAGCCACAATTGCCCCCTCTTAACCTCAGTGGGCACACATCTGTGCAGTTAATACTTTACATTTCTATTACATTTCATTTTGGTATGACTGGACCATTTGTTGGCAGTCACCTCATTCTAAGCAAACTAGGATCAGTTTACATGGATTTAAAAGCATTTAGGCATTTACATGCGTTCCCTACAAACAATATGAACAAAAACAGACATTACACATACTGTAGAAGCACAAAGTTAACAATGTATACCATGCACGTCTACTGGCATGGTATGAATACATTGTATAGGCAGCAAGTTGTGAAATCTGTACTAGCAAACCTGGCTGCCTGGAAAGCCATAAAGAAGCAAAAGTAAAGTGAATAAAACAAAAAATTGCTGGAAGGTAGGGATTTTTGGTAGAAGAGACATGCAAAGTCTTATCTGCAGGGCTGGATTTATTATCTGACAGCTGGGGGGAGGAGTTGCGGCCCGCCGCGCCATTATTGGCCTTGTGGGAAATCCGGGCCTGTTTATCTGCTAAAACCATTCTGCTCACCCCCAGCGATTTTGTTTTCTTATTTTTGTGTATACTGTAAGGCACCATGTAGTGTACACACTCAGTCCATTCACAACATCCTACACACATACACTGGAGTTACACCATCAGTGGCCAGCCAATAGCCAAAGAGGACTTCCAGGAAACCTGAATTGTTTGCAGCGAAGATCAATCTGACATTGCTGGAGTAGGGAACACTTGTAATTTACAGGGCAATTTACATTTCTCACAATTTGTGAGAACATTAAAATAATAGAGGTGCACCGAAATTACATTTTCAAAAATGAAACCCAAATTTTAAAAAGTCAGGCTAAAACCGAAAAAAAAAAAATTCTAACCTTTTCAAGTTGTTTTAATTATTTTATTTTTCTTTATTTTTATAAACTCAATGTAAGTCTATGGGACCAGAACTCGGAAAATCAAATGTCCCCATTTTGAAGGCTTATATGCAAGTTATTGGCCATAAAAAGTGTATGGGGATTTGGGTACTGCCCTGGGGGACATGTATCAATGAAAAAGACACATTTAAAAAAATACAGTTTTTAAAGGAGCAGTGATTTTAACATTGCTTAAAGTGAAACAATAAAAATGTAAAATTCCATCAAATATGGTGCCTGGGGGGTCCCCTTAAACTGCCTGTAAAGTGGCACATCTGTACGATGTATAGAACCTGCTGCAGCAAAACTGACATTTATAAAGAAAAAAATGACATTTAAATTGCCGGTAATTGATTTTCCCTTAATCTTGTAAGCAACTGCTTGGGGAGGCAGCCTGCATGAAGAGGCCACATTTTAGGAGACCCGGAACAAGGTTAGAGATTTTTTGGGATACATTCTGGTGCCTCTCTTGCAGGTGTTGGATGAAAGTTATGACAGGTGCTTTAAAATTGGGCCTTTAGTGTTGGCAGTGCCTTCACACTGTAACCGTTCAGAGTTATTCTTGAAGAGTGCAGGATTGGACCCTGCTGTAAAAATTAAAATACAAAACTGTCACACACCTGTCTCCTTGTTGGCCTTTCAGATATGTGGGGCTTATTATAAACTTTTATTAGATAATCTGGAATGGGAAATTGGTGCTTGGGTGCAATAGTTTATCGAATGTGGTGCTTGGTGCAGTATAAACTGTTGTACCATGGCTTATTATATCAAAAGAAAAAAAAATGGGAACACCTGCAACACTGAAGGAGGAACAGCAATGAGGCAGCAAAAGGACCCGCTGCTGAAGTAAATAAAGTCAAAATAATAAAAGAGAAATAAATACAAAAAATGGGAACACCGGTGGAGCAGGAGAAACAACAGTGATTCCATTGACACACACACACAAAAGATAGCGAATATATAGCACAGAAAATACTATATTAATACTAATACTATATACAGTACAGAGTAGCAACACACTACATAAGGCTGCCATGTAAGCAGCCTTATATAGTGTGGGGCTGGAACTTAGCTGTGAGCCATGATTGGGCAAAGTCATCATTACTTTGCCCAATCAGGGCTCTTACAGAGCCCTGTGCCGTGATTGGGCAAAGTCTTGCACCTGACCTGTGGTCAGGTGCATTGCTTTACACAATCAGGGCTCTCCAATGCACACAATGCATTGCGGGGCGCTTGGCAGGCGAACAGCCTGCTGACAGTTCGTGTGTTCGCCTAACATCGAGCCCATGCCTACTCCTGATCTTTCACAGGAGGCTAAGCGGTGCGGGGAGGAGAGACGCCGGCCACTCACAGCTCACTCTCACTCCCGCACTGCTTGGCCTCCTGTGACAGTTTCTCTCCTCCCCGCTGGCACACAGAGCAGCGCCCAGCGTTGAGGAGAGAAAGCAGGGATGCATCACTATTTCGGCATAGAAAAATTGCACTTTCGGCATTTTACCAAAAGTGCCATTTTCGGCCGATATGTTTTGGCGGCCGAAAATTCAGTGCATCCCTAGAAAATACCCATACAGATCTGCTCCCCCTCTCCTCACCACCACTACCCCACAGCAACCTGTGTAGATCTGTACATCATACACTGCAATGCAGCCCTTCACTGGGCATCTAGAATAACACTCACAAATGGTGAGCACTAGTTGGGCAGCATGGTCACCTGACCACACTGGCCAATGAGAAGTGTTTCTTTTGTGAAACTTTCACATTAGGGTAAAAAAAAAAAATAGAAAGCTATGATATTGTCATATATTGGTGGCACCACATTAGGATCTGAATTGCTGTTTGTCACAGAATATCATTTTTGCAGTCTTTTAAAGCTATTTTGATATGCAGGACAATGTTTTGTCACATCCCAGAACTGGAAAATCCCAGGGACTCAGGGTCATTTTACATACGTGTCAACTTTTGCCTGCATCCAATCAGATGCTGCCACTGTCCAGGTATTCAACAACCGGCAGTGGGGCATCCTCCATCCACTCGGGGCTGAGTGGGAAAAAATTGGAAGAGTTTAGGGTCAACGTAATACTATGGATTAGACAATGAAGCGTTATATCCTTGTTAGTCTTGCTCTGCCTCGGCTGTAGTTTTTGGTAAGGATGTTATTTTGCTGTTGATCGTCACTTAATTTTCCTTCTATTAATCTGGATTTTATATTGTGTGAAGGGGCCATATTTAATATACAGATGTTCTGATATCTGTATACCTGTGATTGGAGGAGGAGAGGGGATTTCACATTACCACCACCTCCTGTCCTCCTTCAGTTAAATAATGCATTGTATTCTTTGAGAAAATATAAGGCATTTTGTAAATGGGCAAATAGTGAGGAGGGGCAGGGATGAGACTGGAGCATTTCACTGTTCGAGGTGCACCCTCTCTCCCTACAGTGCCCAGAAGACCAGTGTTATGTGTAGGAGCCAACATCCTGCGTAGTAAGATTTTAGTACTTTTCACCAGTCCACCACACATAACACAACTTTTTAATGATAATATACACACCCAGGGAGATTGGCATTGAGTGAGTCACTTGAGGATTCGTTATCAAATGCCTGTGCATTCATTTTCTAACACATTATTTTCCTTCTAGTGGTAATATGTGAAGCACCAAATGTACTAAGTGATATAACAATTGAACCACAAAAGGACGAGTACAATTATTTGGATTCTGTAAGCTTTTCCTGCCGGAAGCCTTTAGAAATTGCGGGTAATGCATCAGTACACTGTACAGCAGATGGGACTTGGAGTTCTGATTTTCCCACATGCAAAGGTTAGAAATATGATCTTTTTGTACTTTTTGTTATTGAATTTTTAGCTTGGGATTTAAAGGTGTTTTTTTACATTTCACAAGAAAATGGTTAATGTGATTGTAGCCATTGTAATGCACTTGTAACAATACAGAGTATCGTCTGTAATACTTTTTGCGTACCTACTCTCAAGAGCCAGCCGACTGCTTGTATCAATGCTTAGGGCCTTTGAGAGGAGTACTGAGGAAGGGTTCTGAGATATTTTCTGAAAGCCATGTATAGTACCCTGCCTGCATTGCATAGTGATGCACAGAGACCCGGTAATGACTTCGCTGGGCCTAAAAAAAGGTGCGTAATAAAAATGGAAAGATTTAAAAATGTAATTGGCATGTTGATGAAGGGGAAAGGAGGAACCAGTGGAGGCAAATTTAATGTTGAGCTTTAAGGGATGATATGGCAACCTTCTTTTAGATTAATGCATAGTCCACATGCAGTTAGTGGAAAGGTGATCACATTTAAGGGTAGGTAAACCCAAACTCTGAACTTCTTATTTGGTTTCTAAAATGTACTGTTGAAATTGTTTTGTTCAAAAAATAACTGTTGATTCTGCCAGAAATCCAATGAAGGTTTAACTTCCTGCACTTTCTACCTGTGCTGACTTTTATCAGTTACTACTTAACCCTGCTCCTCTGTATGGAGTAAAGGAGGGGAGGTTTATGAAGTCCTTTCCTTAGAGTGACAACCAGCACTTCTCCCTAAATGGTGAGTAAGCAGTGTCACCTTAAGATAGGAAGTGTGTTGCTGGCAGAATTACCAGGTGAAAATAAAAGTGAAAAAAACACCCAAAAAAGATATACAGTTATCACATCTAATGACGGGTAAGCTGCAATATCATTTTGTTTTTTCTTGGGTTTAGATATGATTAAAGGAGAACTATGGGGTCAGGGGTTTTCCGCATAGTTCTCCTTAGGGTAATGGGAGGACACAAACTAGCGTCCTCCCGTCACCCTAAGCTCAGTATATCGCAAGCTACAGCTCGCGGTATACTGAGACGCCGCAGCCGGAGCTGATCCCGACATCGATGTCGAGATCCGCCCAGCTGCGTGAGTGACAGCTGGCTCTGCCTACCTAGAGGCAGAGCCAGCTGTACCCGCCCTTCTCCCCCGTCCGTTCCGCCAGTCAGCGCTGGCGGATCGGAGCGGGGGGGGGGAAAGTTCTAAATATACCCCCCACCACCCCCATCGGTGTATCCCGCACACTGAAATACCTTCATCTCTGCTTCTAATGTATTTGCTGTTCTGTCCTGCACAGCCTTTTGTGCCTAGTGTGAGTGGGCTCTGCGGCCCCACTGAGTAAGACCGGGTTATATTTGAAGGGCGGCTTCACTAAAAGTGAAGTTGCCATGTAAAAGCGAGACTCTCAGCAAACCACTAAACATAACATTCTGTGAAGCCAATTATGTTGTCTACATGCATTATCTACACTAACATATGTGTATTTAGCCAAGCTTTTTACTTTAATCTCCACCTACAAAAAGGGTTCTTTACTGTAAGAACTGGAAATACATCTTCTGTGTGACCTTGCTCTTTTTTTACCCGACATAACTATGTGAAAAATAATGTTTTGTATACAGAATTAGTGATCCTTTGATTAAAGTTTTGGTTTTGTGATAATATGAAGACCTGGTTAGTGGTTATACTGTATAGTGCAGCAAAATACTGTCATACATATTCTTCCTCAATTCTTAATCTTGTTTTCTTTTCCTCTAGTGTCAGCTGTAAATTGCCCTGATCCTCATGTGCCAAATTCAATTAGAGTGTCTGGGTTTGTTGCTCCACATGGACTGAATTCAGCTATAACGTTTAAGTGTAAAGAAGACTTTGTTCTGAAGGGATCCAGTAGAATCACATGCAACATTGATAGTCAGTGGGAACCCGGAATTCCTGAGTGTAAACGTAACTATACAGTATTTGGGAAAAGGATGCTTTATTACCTTCTTATGATCAAGTGCAAACTAAAGCTGATTCTAGATGTGATCATCAGTCACCACATCCTTCCCCCTTTTTTTTTATTTAGAACAACCTTCCTACAATTCAGTCTCCATCTCCATTCTGACTTGCCTCGTTCTGTTTATTAATGAAATTATTGTCTTTTGACCTCTTTCCTGCATGATCAGATATTCCCTGGATCAACAGTCTATGGCAAGGGTGGGCAAACTCCAGCTCCCTCCCAGCTGTTGTGAAACCACAAATCCCATTATGCATCTGCCTCTGGTAGTCATGCCTGTGGCTGTCGGTCTTTCAATGCCTAATGGGATTGGAACTGCCACCACAGCAGGAGGGCTGGAGTTTCCCTACCCCTGATCTATGGTGTTATTATAGATCAGGGGTCTATCATAGACCCCTATTGATAATTCATTTAGATGGCTGCACTACACTCCAGCCTTCAGGCAGCAGGATGGATCCTGACACTGCGTCATCATATAGTGGACAATTGTCCGCTACATGCTGAGTTTTGGGTCACAGGAGGCCATAGTTCTCTTTAAAACAAGCTTAATAAATAGAGTCCCCTATTCTGTTTATTTGTCCTGTGTTTTTATGGATGTGTGGTGTCCTGGATCGCCTAGAGCAGGGGCACCCACAATTTTTCATCTGGAGATGAATATAGTGGCGAGCTCAATGAGATCTACCAACGAAAAAACACCTGCATTTAGGGGCATGGCTGTGTATTGACGTCAATGGCACCGCAGCCACGCCCCTCACCCGCAGTGCGATTGCAGGCACATAGTACTATGTGTCCCCAGTTATTTACTAACACTGGAGTGATCAGCTGATCGCTCCAGGGTTTGTCCTGCACAGAGGACCAGTACATATCACTGATATGTACCTATCCTCCACCGCTTGGCCACGCACACAGGGGGGCTCAGCTTTTTCTCTGGATCCCCGCTGCTCTCCTGGGCAGAGGCAGCGAGGGATCCGAGGAGAGATAAAAGAAGCGCTGCAGCCGCGGGGGAAGTGGAGGACGGAGCGCAGTGAGGACAGAGAGAGAGCCGTCGGCTGTCAGATCCTGGCTAAGCGTCTCTCTCTCTTCACTGCTCGGCCTCACTTCTGTGCTAGCGGCTCCCTCCTCTGCCGCCGGCCGCAGCGCTTTGTTCACTTCCTCCCGGATCCCTGCTGCATACAGATGGGGGGAGAGCAGTGGGGGATCCAGAGAAGAAGCCCCAGGACATCGCGATCTACCAGTGATCGCTACGCAATCGACTGGTAGATCGCGATCAACCTTATGGGCACCCCTGCTCTAGGAGGCCCACAAAAAGCTACTGCACAAGGTAGCTTGAGATCTCCTTTACCACCAAGAAAAAAACATCTGCCAAGAAGCTAGTTTCTACAGAGGTAATCTCAGATCCATTTTAGGCTTCATTGACTGGACTCTGCTGGAACCCACAGTTCCCAGGACTTTTCAAAGTAATTTGATTCTTATTCCCTTTTTGTTTTGCTGTTGTATTTGTCTATTTTCTGTAGGGTTGCACAGATACCAAGTACAGTACTCGGTACAAGTACGAGTACATGTACCAATATTTTTGAGCTCCACGACTAGACTAGAGAAAAATTAAAAAATTAGGAGGCCGCTGTCATTTGTAAGGGGCACACGGAGCTCCCGGGATTTGTACATCTCTGTTTTAATGTACGATTTTGTTTTTATAAATATAAATAAAGGGATGCACAGATACCAGTTTTGCGAGTACGAGTACTGGTATTTGCCGAGTACTTACAAGTACGAGTACTGATACATTTTTGTTTATTGTCATGTGACAGTTTTTCTAAAACAATATTGACTAATGATTTCAGGACAGTGGTGGAGCGCCAGAGCCAGGTCCCAGCTGCAACCTCTGCAACCCTGGTAGTTCTCATGAAAATGCCAAGTATCGGCACTGGTACTCGAAAAGTATCTGTGCATCCCTAATTTTCTGTATATGTTTCTGCACCTTTTCCTTTATTTAAAACAATCCTTTAGAATCGTTAAGCTTATATCTACGCTCTAAATAATTTGAAGAATCCTGGTCTCCATGAAGAGCACTACCATATTGTAAAACCTGTTATATTCCTGTCTGGACAAACAGCGAGCATCACAGGCATTGCTTAATGTTAGAATTGACACAGCGTTTGCTGGGAATGGCAGCTATTGTTGGTGTTGGTAAAGGGTTAGCTGCAGTGTTAACCAACCCCAGTGGCTATTGTTCTGTCTGCTGGCCGCAGACTGCTGCCCCCCAGGCTGGGAAATCTCTGTGCAGGGTAAAGCTGAGAGTGGTATTGTCACATATTGGTGGCAGCACTGTGAGATCTGAACTGCCGCTTGTCAAAATCTTGTCACAGAATATAATTATTGCAGCCTTTTATAGCCATCTTGATGTGCCGCTGTAAGTACATTCTCAAGATGCCCAGATATGCTGAGGTTAGTGTGTCTACCCACAACCACAGATGCACCCGAATGATCTAGGTAAAATGTTTGGCATTTTCTAACTTTGATTCCTCTTGAAGGAAACACAGGAACATGTTTTTCTCAGAGGGTAATTAAAAGGATTTCACTAATTTCATCTTGATGCTGCCTCATGGAATTCTTTGGGGGTAATAATCCTTACAATTGTCTTTATGGGTTATGAGTGTTTCTTTGCTTAGTAATTCAGACATGAGATTACTATTGTGAAACAGTTGTGCAGTCATTTGTTTCATCTAATATGGGTTGGTACATTAGCTATTGGTTGTATGCCCAGTAGTGTAGATCACTTGTTAGAAAGTTCTACAGTATTGTGTGCAACTGACATCTATAGGCATGCACACAGGCCTGGGCACACCCTAATTGTCCCGAGTGCAACACCAAAAACCGCAACAACAGGTGCTGTGTTTTTAGTCACTGAGCCACTGGAGAGATCACAAAGATCTCTCTGTGACCATCTCAGCGATACAGATCTTCGGGCTGCTTACAAGTGATCTCGGCGACATCGCTGGGATCACTTGTACAAAACAAGTGGCGGCTTCCCCGCTGCACATTTAGCACTGCTTGCCCAAAACAGGGATACTGGGTTGGCGTTCTCGACAGAACACCGGCACTAAATTGTAAAACTGAAGCGGCTGCCTGAGGTCACGTGCTTGCTGGGGACCTCGGCAGCCTTCCTGTTAACCACACGGTGCCAGTTTATAGTGCCTTCCCATGGCGGTGGGGGTGTTGGGTGTTTTCTTGCACCGGGGCCCAGAAGTTTCTAGTTACGCCTCTGGTCACCGATATAGATACCGGTATCTGTGTCGGTGCATCCCTAGTTTTTTCTTTATCATTAAAGGAGAACTATGAGGTGAGTGCTTTTCACTCACCTCATAATTCTAGCCAACCTGTGACAATGAGACCGGGACAGTAGATCGGGAGGTGAGCAAACACATTCCGGTGTTCGCTCACCTCTCGATCCTGTCACGGCTCTCTGCCGTGACAGGGAAGGAGCTGGATTCCCCCCTCCCCGCTCCGATCCTCCACCGATCCTCAAACGGACGGGGGAGGGGGTGGGTACAGCTGGCTCTGCCGCTAAATAGGCAGAGCCAGCTGTCACTCACGCAGCTGGGCGGATCCAGACATAATTGTCGGGATCCGCTTCAGCTGCGGCGTCTCAGTATACCGCAAGCTGTAGGTATACTGAGCCTAGGGTGACGGGAGGATGCTAGTTTGTGTCCTCCCGTTACCCTAAGGAGAACTATGGGAAAAAGCCCTAACCCCATAGTTCTCCTTTAATTGAGGGCACACTAGGATTTAGTAAAACAGATGTGTGCGTTATGTTGCTGCTTTCAGGAGATGGACACTGGCAAACAGAAAAAAAAAACATTAAAGGGCAGACCGCTATAAGAAAAGTCCAACACATTTTAGAAGACCAGTGCAGGTTCCAGCACATGCTATTGTCCATGTTCCTCTGCATAGAATTGCAGGCAAACATGCATTAGCTTGAAACCATGCACGAATTAGCATGAAGGCACATGCACAAATTAGCATGGAGGCGCACACGAATTAGTGTGAGGGCATGCATTAGCGTAACTGAGTAACTGTGAGGGGTTATACGGAGCTGCACATGCCAGCCTTTTCTCGTGTGAATGAGGCCTTACAGAGTGGAGACACCAACACCAAAGGCCCATTTTTGCCACACCTGTGTGACAGGTATATATAATTAAAATTTTTAGAGCAGGATCCAATCCTGCACTCGTCAAGAATAGCTGAAGGGTTAAGCTGGCCATACACCTTACAATTAACTGCAGATTTTCTGTGGTCCGATGAAAAAGGTGCAACAGATTCCTCCATCTACACTTAACTGTGTGGATGGAGTAATCTCCACCTGGGTCAATCTGTTGCACTTTTGTCATCTGACCACAGAAAATCTGCAGATAATTGTAAGGTGTGTGGGCACCTGGAGTGAAGGCCCCACCCACACTAAAGGCCCAATTTTAAAGCACCTGTTGTTACTTTCATCCAACGTCTGCAAAAGAGACACCAGAATTTATCCAAAAAATCTCTAACCTTGTTCCGAGTGTCCTAAAATGTGGCGTCTTCATACAGGCTGCCTCCCTAAGCAGTTTACAAGATTAATGGAAAATCAATTACCAGCATTATAAATGTAATTTCTTTTATTTATAAATGTCAGTTTTGCTGCAGCAGGTTCTACACATTGTACAGATGTGCCCCCCGCCACAATATTTAAAGGAATTTTTATGTTTCACTTTAAGCAATGTTAAAATCACTGCTCCGTTAAAAACATTATTTTTGAGAAGTGTTTTTTTTTCATTGATACATGTCCCCCAGGGCAGTACCCAGATCCCCATTTCATATTTATGGCCAATAACTTACATATACTGTAAGCCTTCAAAATGGGGACATTTGATTTTCAGAGTTCTGGTCCCATAGACTTTCATTGAGTTCTAAGTTCTTGTATGAACTTTTTCCCTGCTCTATTGTTATTGCTAGAACCAAACTCAGGGGTGTTCAGCCCATCACTAGTTGTAAGCCTTCCCATGTGCACCTTGCTACAAAGGCTGGTTATAAATTGTGCGGTTACCATCTATTTTTAATTAACAAGTGCACTTGAACATTCTTATTTGAAATGAAAAGCTATCTTGGGTTTTACAATCTTGCCTATTATTTGGAAAATACTATTTTGCATATTAGAAAAAAGTATGTAAACAAAAATTAATTTTGAAGGTAAAGCCTGGAAACGGAGGTTCAAATTTTGGGTTCAGCTTAATAAAAATGATTATAAGTTAAACTTTGTAGTATGCATTGACTTAATCAGTATCCCCTCTCACAGCATCCAAATGTGATAAAATGTGGGAACTGCAAGAAGAAGCTAGAAAGTGTACATCGACCCCAGATGAGTGGATCAAGTATCTGCAGGTGCAGTACCTCTTCCTTCAGATCGAGAACCTAAAGCTGGATATTGAAATTAAGAAGAAAAAACTGAGTGCTGAGTCTACAACTTGAGGTTCCTCTTCCTGTTTCTCAGGGCAGCATGCCATTTAGTAAGGGCCCACTTCCGAGAGCGCTGTTTGTCTTTTTGTGTTCTTTTGAGTCTACAACTTGGCAATGAAAGACAGATTAGTAAGAGGCAACACACAAAATGTCACATTATTACCTTCTTGTCATTGTTCTCATTGGACTGCAGATTTATAAAGCTACTATGGGCAATTTCTGCACTCAAGCTCACCATATTTCAACAAAGGGGGGAATAATTCAGATAAATCTTTCTATTGGAGGTAGAGTTTGCTAATTTTTTGCCACCTAATATTTTGGCCATAACTTAGACCACCCTAAATCTGGGGTAATCTTTTTATTTTGAACAAAAGGCAGGTGGTAAAAAATCCTTTTTGTAGTTTTGTTTTCCATTTTGTCTACCTTTCACTAAGGTTTCATTGTAATGTCAAACTTATCACATGGAAACCAGGCAATATTAATAAGTAAAACAGGACAAAGTGCAGAAAGGGCACGCTGTACATTTTAATGATCTTTAAAACAGACCCGATAGATGTTAAATTCTGACATTTTGTGTATTTTTCTTGCAAAATATGTAACTGTTTTTGTATAGCATACAAAATAAAATTACATTTTGATTTATGCTTTGATTTTAAGAAACTTCAATGCCGCTTACAAATTTGCCATTTGATCATACATGTAGCATATGGCATGCATGTGCAAATATTTTAAATAAATGCTTTCACTGATGCAAATAAGTGTCATTTTTTTATTGTGCCACCAGATATGTATTTACTGAACAGTAACTAAAGAAAAGGTACATTGAAAAACCTAATCCATAAACTGAGGGTGTATCAATTGGCATTTATTCATCTCTCCCCATCTCAGACATACAAGAAATGACAGATGATGAGGGTGGATTTATCTTTTCCAAATGTAAAGTACTGTATATGATAAATTTTTCATGCTAGCCAATGCCCATCTCCCCAACTAGCGGCAATTACTATTTCACTATTTCCTCCACCTGTCCCAGAAGGTATTTGCAGTGCTTTGCACTTGTCTCCACTGGCACAAATACAAGTCCTTAGTACTGAAGTCTCCAGATGGAGCGCTGACTATTCCAGTTTTCTGTGTGCTGAGTATTGCTGAGCAGGTCTATTGGGTTACCTAAAGACCTCTTCCATGAAATTTGTCAGACTCTCTTGATTGAGCCTTGCAGCCCTTACTTGTAAGAAGATAGAATCAAGATTTCTACAAACCATGACATTTAGTTTTTCTCATGCTCCACTCATGTGAGATAAGTGAGATGGATTAAAAGTCCATTCACAACCCTTATCACTGAGAGATCTCTCCACCCTTTTGGTGTCAATGTTTGGAGTTATTTTCGGTTCTTTAGCTACCCCAATAAAGCTGTTGCCTTTGTCTGAATGAATGTGTTTCACAGGGCCTCGGGTAGCAAGAGAACATCTAAGGGCGTTTGAGAAGCCAGATGTGTCTATGGACTGAATAACTTCAATATGAACTGCTCTGATGGTCATATAGGTAAATATTGCTGCCCAGCGCTTACTGTTTGACTGACCACCTTTAGTGTGGTGTGTGATGACAGGTCAGGGACCAAAAACATCAAGGCCAACATTGGTGAAATGGGCATCTGGACTGAGTCTATCAGCTGGAAAACTAGCTAACATAACTTTTTTTGTCTGTAGCATGCCGCAAAGCTTCCGGTATGTAACACATTTGAAGATCACACTACTCGCACATCTTTTAGCTCCAACTATTCACAAGCCAGCAGCTCGTAAGGCCCCTTTGGTACATAGTCGTCCTTGGTGTTTGACTTGAGTGCAATGTACTTGACATCTTTTAGGTCCATGTCCATTTCTGATGTAATAAGCTCTGCTAGCTCAACAGCTTATACTGCAGCACAAAGTTCTAGTCAAAGTTCTAGTTTAGGGATAGTGTGCTCAGGGTGTAGCACCAGTTTTGCTTTTCCAATGATAAATCCTATGTGGCATGGTGCTGTAACATCTACAGTAGGCAACAGCTGCTATTGCTTTGACATAGGTTTTTGGCTTTGTACTTTGTTTCTAAGCGCTTTACCTTAATTTTTCTCTGTCCCCTGTCTTTAAGCACTTTACCATAAATTGTGACAGGGCTGCAAATCTTAATTGACCATACAGGCTTTTAATTATAGACAAGACACCTCTGTGAATGAAAGGTTTCTCTGTCTATTTGGTGTTAAAGGAATCAGATTGCAAGTTCCAGAGTAGACCAAGACTGTGTTGAACAGGTAAAGAGTCTGTCCCTAAATCTAAATGTCTTAGATCATTAGAGTGGTCTTGGAAAGGGAAAGCTTTCATTACTTCTTTACTGTTGGAGGCAAACTTATGAAGCCTGAGATTGGAGCAGGTGAGCATCTGCTGTGCTCTTTTGAGGAGACTAATTGCAGACTTATTGGAAAGTAAATATTCTAAAAAGTCATCTACATAAAAGTATTTTTCTATGAATTGTCCAGCATATGAGCCATACTCAACCAAACCAAAGAAATCTCAAAACGTTTCGGTCTTTTTCTTTAACAAGGAAGCAATGGAACATCTGTTGGATGTCAGCTATGAAAGCAACAGAGTATGAGCGAAAATGTAAAAGCACTCCCAAAAGTTTGTTTTTGAGGTCTGGTCCTGTCAAGAACACATCATTTAGCGAGACGCCCTCGAATTTGGGGCTAGATTAAAATACTACTCTAATCTGACCTGGATTTTTAGGGTGATCGACTCCAAATATTGGTAGGTACCAGCACTCCCCAGAGTCTTTAAGAGTGGCAGCTATTTTTGCATGTCTGTTCTCAAAGATTTTCTCCATGAAAGAGACAAAGTGGTCTCTCAACTCTGGCTTTCTTTACAAATTACGTCAAAGGGGGGGGAGAAACACTTCAGTACTTGTTTTCTGTTATTAGGTAGGCATCCCCCTGTGGTCAGAAGGGAAGAGGTGCAACCCAGCATTTTGTGTAATCTTTGACTAGTCCCTGTTCCATTATTGCTAAAAAGAGTTTATCCTCAATAGCCATTGCCACTTGATTGTCCCCTTTCCTTCTTCAACAGACTGTACACCCTAAAATAGTCTTGGTCACTGTCACAGGCGAGGTTATCCCTTGAGGACCTACAGTATGAAGGGACAAGGCAAATGGGTAGCCTACGGCAATTCATTTATGAGGAAATGATTGTGGCATGGCTGGAAAAAAAGAGGGATGTCCATTATCTAGTGTACTTGTAAGCATGCTGCTAACAGGTAGGTTTGTGCTTGCTTCTTAGGCAGACATCGCCTATAATGACCCATCCGAGGTCCAACTTCTTGTCACAGGGAGCATTGTGGGGACCATTAATCTTAGCTCTTGCTTTGTGAACTTGTAAAATATATTTCCCAAGGAGTAGGATAATCTGCCAAGTTCTGGTATCCGATGCACTATACGTGTCAAGTGTGGGTGGTGAACCGCTGCATCTGATGTAGGGATTTCAAACCTACGATCAGGGATCTGAATGCATTCTATAAGAGTTAGTATGGACAGGCATATTTGTCCATCAATAGACTCAACACTGTAGCCAGATACTCTCTTTCCCACCGTCTCCACTATTCCTGCACACATTTTTAGGGAGTAAGGAATGTTGCGACTTTTAATTCTGAACATATCAAAGAAGGCTGAGCTGACTAAAGACTTGTTACTCTGATAATCAAAGATTGCATAAAGCTTAATGGCTTTGTCTTTTTGACCTGCTGGGTAGACTCTGACTAGACAGATTTTGGAGCAGGACCTGGCACCTATGACTCCTGTACCTTGTACATTGTGAAGTGATCTCTGGTATAGTTGTAGCAGTGTGATTTTCCACCCCACCATGCTCACTAGTGATGTGAGTGCATTGTAAAGTCCATAAGGCTGACACAGGGTGTAAAGATGTGTTTCGTGATCTCAGTGGTCACATCCTGTATGTTTTACACTGACCTTACAGTCCTTGGCAAGGTGAGATGTCAATAAGCAGCACTTGTAGCAGATGTTGTTCTCCTTCAGGAAGGCTTTGCAGTCTTCCATGGACTTTTCTCTGAAGGCTCTGCATTTCAGAAGAGGATGCGGCTTCTGGTGAAAGGGACATTGCTTACCAGGATCTTTGACATTTGTCAAGTTAGAGGAGCTGGCAGACTTGTAAAAAGAGAAGGAGCCACATTCGTCTTGTGTACTGCTACTGGAGGTTTGTGAGGGTTAAGCCCTGAGGGAGCGACATGAAAGTGTAAAGTCAAAATTAGGATAATTTATTTAGCTTGCTGGTGCAAAAAGTCCACAAAAACAGAGAAAGGGGGAAATCGAACATTGTATTGTCTTTTAAATCTGAAGCCATGTGTGATCCACTGCTCTTGTATGTTTTAAGGTAATTTTGCACAATGAGGTGGAATCTGTTACTATTATTAGCCGTACTGGCCTGGACCCTGTTGGATCCATTAGTAGAGGATCTCCTGGAAGTCCTGGCTGGGATTCTCAGAGGAGAACAGTAGACCCCAAAAGGTATTCTGAGCTTACCATAACAACACTTCTGGCTGTGTCAAGGAATGCAAGTTCTTGTAAGTCCCCTGCAGATTTGGCTACCCGAAGCTCCATTGGCAAGTCCTTTAGTTTCCTAAGTTTACGATAGGCTTTGTTAGGTATTTTGGGGACGCTATGAAGTCTGGTGAATAATGCACACTCTATTGCTTCTGCTGAGCCATAACACTCATCAAGTTTATCCCAGATCATTTTAAGGCCAGTCTCTGGGTAGTTTATATTTATTGCCCTGATCCGTCTGGCATGCTCAGCGGACTTGTTCCCAAGCCATTTGATGAGGAGGACTATCTCTTAATTACATAAAGGTTGAAGCCTATGACAGCATTTTGGAAGGAGGATCACCAGGCTGTGTGTCTGTAAGGCATCTATCATAAGTGATGTTACTTTGCCTGTAGTTCTCTTGTGTGCAGACTTGAGGCATTTCGCTGAC